AATTTGATCATGGTACAACCAGAAAATTTTCTTTAAAACTCCATTCTTTTAAGAAGTTATTATTTACTGAGTGAGGAAACGGATTAATAGGAAACATCATTTGCCTATTCAATTTCATTTCCAAAAATTGAGTCCTTATTCGTAATCTTTAGCACATGATTTCAGCAAACTCAAGAAAATATAAATAGTAGTCAGTTTGAATAAATAGCAGAATAAAAAGCATAAAAAGGACCTTATCAACTGAATAAATAATTGAAAAGATATCTCTATCAGCTTGCTCGATACGATATACCATCTTTTGTTCGCTATCTCGATCAACAGCCTTCACAGTAATTAATGGTGTACCAAGGGTTTCAGTTTCTGGTACAGTAATATTGTAAAAATCAGTTTCAAAATAAGGTGCATTATCATTGCTATCACGAACAGCTATTGAGATCAATAAGGTGCCAGAAAGAGGTGGATCTCCTCCATCTTCTGCTTTCACCTAAAATTTTAAAAGCATTGAAATTGGAAAGTTTGGATCGATATCAGGAATTACTGGTTGTCAAGATAATTATTAATTGGTCTGATAAGATCGTGTTCTAATTACTATTCAATTTCAAAAGAATAAGATGAAAAAGTACTAAAAAAATTTATTTTTTTAACAAACTTGAATTTTAGAAAATAAACTTATGTTGGTCATCAAATATTGATGACTAACATAAGTTTATTAAAAAGTAGAAATTTTCATAAGTTCTATATCATTCAGAAATTTGTTACTCTAAGTAAATATTTCTCTTTTGTTTCGCGATCAAGCTTGTCTTTAGTTGTAATAGTCCCTGTGCTGCGATCGATTCGGAAGGTTTCATTAACACCATCATCTCCCTCTAATTCATAACTAATAAGACCGTTCACTCCGTTGTCCTTGTCGATAGCAAAAACACGAGTCACTTCATGACCTATTGGTACATTTTCTTCTACAAATAATTCTTGCTGTGATGCAACAAAGTGTGGAGCCTGAAGAGAGTAACTGATAAGCCATGAAGAGTGTGACTGATAATAGTTACAGCGGTCTAGCCTGTTGACAGTCAAGCAAGCCAAATATACTTGATGACTTAGACAATGAAAGATTAATCATAAATTTTACTTTGCTCAGCTTAGAAAACTTGAAATAATACTAACTAATACAAAAATGAACAGGTAAAAATCATACATGATCATTGATATCAACGATATGTATGGCGCAGTTTACTGTTGAGGACTGAGCAGGCTGACCAGAATCTTTAGCGCGCACTAAAAGTATTACTGGATTTGGTCGTGAATCTAGATTTTGATGCAATTTTATCCAGCCATTTTCGTAATCTATAGAAAAACCATTTGCACTAGATGCTACTATGCTGTAATGCACTTTCCCTGCAAGATACAAAGCATATCAAAACATCCATCAACATATTTTAAGTCAATCAATCTCTGTGGAAAACTTCGTTTAAAATTAGATAAGTGCAAAAGATACCATTTTGTCCAGAATCTTTGTCCACTGCTTTCACTTGAAATATGGCCGATGGAATTGTAATATTTTCCATTATTGTGATATTATAAAATTCCTTAAAAAAATCCATTACTCTGCAAAATGAAAGACGCATAAAAATTTCAGATGAAGATTTTACTACTGAGATACCTGCAATATGCGCAAGTAATATTTCTTTAAGTAATTACAAAGATATTTTTGGATACATACGTCTGTCAAATAAATTATGTGAAATTTCCTTTAATAAGACAGTTAGTTTCTTAATAAAAAATAAATCTAATTCTGAGTGGTTTTCTATCAAGTATTTACGCATATATTAACTACTTTCATTTATACCATGTCAACTAAAACTTGGCTCACTCTAATTATAGGAAAATAAATACACTCTCAATTTTTAATGAAAGATTTATTACTAAAAAAATATGTGATTATACCTGATCAAAAACAGGTGTATTATCGTTCACATCAATTAAAATGATTTCGAGAATGGCACTTGAACTCATTGACGGTACACCTTTGTCGGTTGCATAAACATGTACTCTAATAAGACTCATTAATTCTCGATCCAGATGCTTAGCTGTTTGAATAACCCCTGTCGAACGGTGAATTTCAAGTAGCTCAGCACCTGGCTCTTCCCCAAGTGAATAATCAATTTCACCATTCAATCCGATATCTAAATCGCGAGCAAAAACTGATGCCAAAGTCGTACCAATCTATAGGTTGATCATAATTATTAGAGCAAATGCTAGAATATTCAGGGTTTTTTGTGCATTAATAAATTACGATAAATTAGTCATTTGCATTACATGAACAAAATCATCAATAGATCAATCACTTAATTAATAATTATATTTTACGCTCATTTGAAAAATTGGGTTGTGAAGGGTTTTAAGCCAATTATGTTGTTTAAGGACATAATATGGTTTTTATGATTCCACATCTGCAGGACATGATTTCATTTTTATATCTATCAATTAAGGTGATCTAAAATTAATGCTCATTGTACAATTAATGGAAAATGTTGCTTTAAAGATTTATATATATATAATTACATTACATATATATATATATATATATATAT